TAGATTATCAAGTATATATATTTAAAATTTTATATAAATTAAATAAATATTCATTGAATATAATCAAAAAAAAATATTTGCTTTTTTTTGTTACGCACTGTAAATTTAAACTTTTTAGAAAAGATTATAAATATAAATCTAAATTTAAAATTTTTAGAATAGATAATAAAATATAAAACTAAATTTATAATTTATAATTGTAAATAAAAAATAATATATTAATAATTTTAAATTACAATTTTTAAAAATTAATATATTAAAATTTAAGTTATTTTTATAACAAATAAAAAATTTGATAGATAGTTATTAAAAATTTAAATTTCAAATTTTATACTAGAAAAATAATTGGATATCAAAATTTTAAATTTTAATATTTTAACAATTGACTTATTTAATTATACTAATTTTTTTGTTATCAGTATAAAAATACTTATATCTAATATTATATTTCTAATTTTTTCATAAAGTTTTTTAATACAAAAAATTATAATGGTTTGATACTTAATAAGTTGAAATATAAAATAAAATATATTTTAGCTTTAGTAATTATATCTGAATAATTTATTTTATTTGTTATTTTATTCATTTATTATCATCATACCATTATGATTGTATTTTTATTGGCTCATAAGTGACGATTTTGTAACGGGATTATGGTATCTTTGAAACTTAAATTTTTATAGCCAATTTACTTTGAATTGGCGTTAAACTATATACATTACGTGTATATTGGAGCATGCTACATTACTTTTTTTCATTGCTCAAAATCTCTTATTAAATAAATATTTGTTAAGCTTCATGTTAATCGTAATATTATTATATTACTAAGCAGAGTTAATCTGATTTATTTGTTTTCTCGTGTAGTCATCCATCAAATTTTAATAGCCAGCCGCCTTTTTGTTTTTTAATTTCACGAGCTTAATTTAAAGCATTAATAAGACTTCCATTTACTCGATCAAGATTGTTTGCCAGAGAAACATGTATGCTCGTTTCAATTTATTTAAATAAAACATTTCCTCAACTTGTAAGAATGAGATTAATAGAAATGAGACCCTTTTCTTTAATAAAATGCGGAGAATCATGGACAAATTTTTGACTTCTTTTGTTGCGAAGATTACATTGTTCTTATTTTATCGTCGTTATGATTTTTATATTTTGATCAATGAAATTTCATAGTTCTATTACGGCAAGGGTATTGTTGCATCATCTGCAATTACATTGATGGTTTCTTTTTAACTTCGCCCACTAATTAAGGGAGATATTGAAGACATCCAAGCCATTACAATACACTTAAAGATGTGCAATTAGTGATCTTTAAAACTTGAGGAAGTTTTTACACATTATTAATCAATGGTATGATCGTACTCGCCACATTCTCCAATGGAATCTTAAATATGTAAATAGTTTGATATCGATGAAGATTCATTATATTTAACTTTTAGTAGCAAATTTATCCATCCAGATTCTTTGAAGAAGATCCCAAGCTGTTAGTTAGTTCAACCCATTCGACATGTATTTATCTTCACTTCCTCATTTAAATATTTTTTAATTAGATTTACAGCAGCCAATTCCTTTTGAGGACCAATCACAGTTAATACTTCATTTTTATAATCCTCGCTTTCTCATATGTGATTTTTCAATACTATTCCAAAAACCCTTATATATCAGCAAATCCAAATTTAACAATTGCCATGTTAACTTTTTTAAATCAAACCAATGTAATGTCGATGTATTCAACGCTTCATCAATATCAGCAGCGACTTTTGGCGTAAACAGATTTTGAATATTCGCGGCAATCTTTTTGGTTGTTGATTCGGATCGAATCTCGTGGTTCGAGAAGATGTGGCGAATTATATCCTCAGTTTTGTAAATGGCTTTTAATAGGATGTTGTCATTATCGTTTGGCCCTGATATATGTTTTAGAAGTGGATACTTTATAGTTTTGTAC